ATAATACAATGGAGAACACAATATCAGTAAAATACATAAAAGGGACTTACGAATTCAAAAGGAATATTGACCGAAATAATTTCTCTACATTACGACTTAAAAGAGTTCAGAAGCTGATAGGGCTAGAAAAACAAAAGAGGCGGAAATGGCCTTACAAATTCAAAAGTCTTAAAAGGAATATTGATCAAAACAAATTCTTTATATTACGGTTTAAAGAGTCCAGAAGTCGATAGGGCTGGAAAAACAAAAGATCAGTATTAAGATAGCACGAAGTGTTTTAAGAATTCAGAAGCTTTATCTGCTACCAAAACTATTTGCAATAAAATCTATTCTGGCACAACATCAACTGGCGTTAACAATAGAAACAACAGTCCAGAACTACAGACTCCATTTAAGAGAGAGGCAACATCAAGTGCTTCTTCGGCAGTATTCGTTTGCATTTCTTTTACCTCGCTTTACGACTGTGGCACATTCGTTATGGGTGCGGCTAAAAAGGCTACCAGATGAGAGCCCTTTGCCGCAGGTTACATTCTTATGCTAATCGGGCGACCAACAATGGAATAAGAGCCTAAAAGATCATAAACTGGAGCAGAGAGCAGAGCTGGAAGCATTTGGTAGCCAAATGGTAGTCGCTCCACATTTTGTTACGCATCATCAGGCACAGGTTGGGGTAAAATGGCTTGTAGCGATAGTTAGTCGCGTATTGTGTGCGACTCAATTTACGGCCCAAAGTGAAAAGAGGCTGGTAACAAAAGTGTCTTAAGCACAAGCATTAAAGTGGCAAAATAAAATCTAATTTACAGCGCTAATGTTAATTTGTTGTTCAACATCTGTTTGCTTTTGTTTTCGATTTTATGCCACAACAGCAGCAACACTAACAATAACAGCAGCAAACAAATAATAAATAAACAAATGAACAAACAAACAAACTGGACATAATTGCTACAACTTAAAAAATCACAACAAATGAGCAACAAACAGCTCAAAAATCTGACTGATTCAAAAAACTCACAGTGCATTCAAATTGATTACAAAACATCGGACAATAGACGGACAGACGGGCAGATAGACAGACCGACAGATATGCAGACGAGTCCTGTCCTTCGTCGTCTCCTGCTAAACATGACTCGGCAGAGTTGAGCCGAGTTGAAATGAGTTTGTTTGGCAGCCGCTTGTTTTTATTGTTTAGCTCGTTATCAAGTCAAAATAATCAGGCGCAGCGCGCTAACAATTGTCATTGTTAAAGGCCAGACCCATACAGGAGCCTAAGATCGAACACCAGTCCCGAACAGAGCCCCAACTGCAGCTCCAACTCCATTTCGAGGCGTCGAGTGCGACGTCTCAAAATGTGCCCCATCATTGCCACTGGCCATAAAAGTGAAGCTCCTCATCATCACCAACAGCAGCAGCCTCCCCGAACAATGCAACATGATTCGCGAATTATAAATACACGCGCCGAGTAGATCAGTAATAAAAACGAATGAAGCACCCAACTTGTTATACTCTAAAAATATGAAACATAATATGAAAGCCTTAAGACCCATTTGACCGTGTTTCTGTTTAAGTTTAATCAACTAATAATTTGAATAGTTCATTCAATTTCATTCACTTGTCATCGAAATGTTTAAATTGTGTGGCACACATGAAAGATTTAAAATATGTTTAATTAATAATTATTCAAAACTTTTCTGTGTTCGGTATGGCATCACAGTAAATTATATAACATGCGAACAATGGTTTGCTGAGCAACGCTAGATGATATTAATATATTATGTTGAATGCTAAATTAGAAGTATAAAATTGAGTATAAAAGTTTATTTTAATCTATCTGGCTTAAGGTAAATTTTGACCATTTGAACATAATTGTTAATAATTGTTTTCTTTGTTTGTATGTATATAAATAATAAATTAAATAAATGAACAACTAAATAATTGTGTTAAATGAAATTGGTCTGATATTAAACAGAAGATAAGAAAAATTAAGAAATTTGGTTGGCTGACAATCGAAGTATAAGAAAATAGTTTATGATCAAATATTTATGTGTCATTTCACATTAAGAATATTTAGCAACAATTTGAACAAAAATATATATTTAAGCGAATTTTTTCTTTTTGTGTGGCATATATGAAGTAAAACTATATCTATCCTCCTGTTCCTTTCACCTCGAAAATGTAACAAAGTTCACATCAAAGTTAAGTTGCCTATTTATTGAAATGTTCGCCAAATGCATTTTCGTAAATTTCTGGAGCAATATAATCGCAGGCAGCAGGCTCTAAAATTAAGCAGCAGCAGTCATCGTGGCCCTCAACCGTAATTGTGGCAAGTGGCGCGCTCGTGTGTTGCAGTTGCAGTTGTTACGCTGACTGCCTGCTGCAGTTGCTACTGCGCAAGCTAACAAACAACTTCGCACAGAAGCCAAAACGTGTCGTCCTTTTGAGTCACTCGAGTTGCCCAGAGACTGCATCCTCAACAGCGGCAGAAGCAGACCCAGCTTTAGCTCGAGTCTCAGTCTCAGTCTCTGTCTACGTCTTTGCCACAGACTCATCGTCATCGTCGACTGTGTTGTCATGGACATGGTCTTCAGTACGTGGCAACGGCATCGTTTTTAATTAAACAATGTAAGCAAAGGCAACAAGTAAAATAAGTGAAAAGTGGTCTACCCCAGAGTGCCTGTCTCTGAGATATCCTGTACGCCGCTATGAATATTTACTATCTGTGCAAAAATATGTTCATGAATCTATTGAGAAAATACAGACATTGCTGTTATAATCCGATATGTTCATATGGGATAATTTGTACCGAAAAATCCCTTTAAAATTGAACACATCTATTGAACTTTACTCCTCTACCCTTCCATATCTTTATTATATATAGCAATTTTTAATTTATATAGGATATGTATAAGTCTTGCCAGCATTCGGTGCGACGGGCCATCGTCCCCGTCTTGCAGCTTACACTTCGCTTCCCCCTGCTCTAGGGGGATGGAGAAGGGAAAGGAGGAACCACCAGTAGTCAAGTTCAACTTGGTGAGTTATGAGTTGCGCAATCACGACTTCTTGTCTTGCTGCTTGACTCGGTGGAGTCGGTGGAGGAGTGCTGCAGTATTGCAGTTTCGCACTTGGGCTGATTAAGTTTTAGAACAAATGAATTAAAAACGTGCGCTTCGGTTAGCTGAGATCATGTTTGGCCGAAGGTGTGAAATAATTTGGCCAGAGCGCACTTTACCTGCCCAACATGCATCCTCAGCTGGCTGCAGCAGCTGTCGAGGATCAGCCGAGCTAAACTGCTTTTTATGACTATTGGAATTACTGAAAAAGGCCCTCGAAAAACGCGCAGCTGGCTGGAAAGTTCACAGCCTGATTTACCTGCAGTTGTTTCCAGTCTCTCAAAACGACGAGACTTTTGGAAAGCTTCAGATTTTGTGTCATGGCACACGAAACGATCTCCGCTTAAAGATAAAATATTGTAATTCATTTAAATGAACAAATCAAAAAATGTTTGTGAAAACAAAGAAATGTCCACTTGAGGAAGACAGACAAAGAGAGAGAGAGAGAGAGAGAGAGAGAGAGAGAGTGCAGCAGAGTCAAAAAACGCAGTGCCTGAAAAGACAAAGCTATGTCTGAGAAGGCAGATTGTTGTGATGTGATTACGTCAAAATTATTAAAACAGTCTCCGAGCTGAGCTGAGCCGAATTTGGCCCGGGCTTCGCATATCGTAATATTCGTGTACGTCATGTTTCACAATTCGTCTGCCGCGTTTGATCGACACTGATCTGAGATAAGACAGCCAAATAACCAAATCAACCCAAGTCCCAAAAAAAAAAACCAACCAAATAACAACAACAACAAAACCCGAAACTTCAAATCATATCGGAATCGGAGTAACCACTACCCAGCCCAGTCCAATCCAATCCAGAGTCAAACTCGGAGACAAGTGCATTTGCATCACGAGCCGTGTGAAACAGCTTTCCCAAAACCAAAAATATCTGAAATCAAGAATACTTTGCTTGTTACTCAATGAAATTTGTTGAAAATTATGAACAACGAACAAATATTTTCACCATCATCCGGACATACATAAATGTGCATTATGTATGGATCGTTCGGGCAAGAGGAGAGGGGTTAGCATTGTCTAGTAACAGTTTTATGCTTTGACAGGCGTTACACACACACACACACACAAGCTGACAACAATGCCATTAGCCCCAACAAAGACACCACAGCGACAATTGACAAGCGGCAGAAATGGACAAACTTAACTCGACTTGAGCAACAAGAATGAATAGCAGCCAGCTGCAAGTTGTAGAATATTAAATACCCTTACAAATATAACAAATTATGGAATGGAATATCTGTTCTTCATTGAGCACTTATTTTGAAGAACGAAGATGGAAGATATTTTTAAGTTTCTATTCGATTCATTGGATGGGAGATATAATATATACTTTATAATATATACTTTATTTATCACAATATAGAAAATTGAGAATAAGTGAGTTTAGTCAAGATATAATTGAAAAAAAGAGGTTGGCATAGCTTTTAATATAATATATCAGATAGTAGTCGGCTTGACATCTCCAAAAAGAGTTAATATAATAAATAAACTTTAAATGGTTTGAGTTGTAGATAGAAGTGAGAGCCTTTTGCAGTAAAAATAAGAATATTGCAACAAGAACTTGCCTGTTGGAGCTAAACAAAAATGATGTATTTTTTCAGGGCGCTACATATTCTGAGACAAAGTAACGATACCCATTTCTAGGGTATTAACATATGTATAGTGAAATACTTAGTTATCAATGGTTATTGTATGACACTTCTTGGTGTGAACCTGCTGGCAATGCCATTCTCATTCACATTCTCATTCTCAATCTCATTCACATTGTCGTTTGGTGCTCTAATCGCTCGCTAAGCTGCTGCTGGAAAGAAAAAATAAACAGCAGGCAACAGGCTTTGATTATTAGATCGTAGCAGAGACTATTCAAAAAGCACAATGGCCTGGCAGACTTTGGAGTCTAGACTCTAAACTCGCTTTGTGGTTGTTTTTTATCTGCAGTTTCCTAGGAAATCCAAACAACGCCAAAAAAAAAAAAAAAATACAAAAACAGAAACAGAAATCTTGACCACGTTTGCACACGCATCCGGCCAGGGAGCTGAAAAACTTACACGTCTTGAGTCGTGTAATATGCAAACTAGTCGGAGGGCGATAACTGTACAGATAAGGCACACTGTACGTGTACAAATTGCAGACACTGTAATGCAATTTATGTTGCTGGCACGATCCTAACAAACGGCTTACCTGCACAAAACTAAAGCAACCTGAAAGAGACTTTTAGGAATCACAGCTGCTGGAAAGGATTTCAACTACATCGTTAGGTAAGTTCTTTAAGCGCCAGGACTACCTGTGCCTGCGTACACTGAAACGAGTACTTACTACCTGTACCTGTTCAAAATATAAACCACGACAGCAGACCACTTTCCGCACATTCCGCAGACACCAATCAAACGGACAACAAGTATTACACAGTTCTGTAGACACTTTTCGCTTAAACACAATGCTACGAAATAAGAAGTTTTATAAACACGCCTTGGAGGCGCAAAGGATTAAGCAACAAGAGCCACTGCCTCCCAATTATATAGACAATCTACATGAAATATTCTTTGAGCAAATTTTCGAGCGAATCGATTACATCAGTGATCAAGTGAGAATGGCTCGCGCCTATCCCCAATTTCTGCCACAAATCTTGAAAATGTGGCAGAAGCGTTGGCATTATCGGATTGTTGGCCCAAACACACCATTTCTCGGTCTGCTGGATATCGAGGATTATGTGTTCTTCATGGAGCATATGGCCGATCGTTTCACCGAGCTGCATGTCCACGAGGATGGTGTTGGCTCCTTTGCCGAGTTCTACGATTACATAACACACTTGTGCGATATTAATATAATGCGTTTCAATAATGTGGAATGTTGTGTTCTGGGGGGAAATCCCAATACTATGGTGGATGAGGATATCCGTGATTTGACAGTGATGTTGCCGAATCTGAAACGCCTGACGAGCTGCATGAATCTATCCGGCCTGTTTATGCGTGGATTCAGGAAGCTGGAGCAACTGGTCTTCAAGTCGATGTATCATTCGGTGCCATTGGACAGCCGCTGGATGCAGGAGATCTGTCTGAGCATGACCCAATTGCGGGTCCTCGACATCACCGACTCTTTTGATAGCTGTGTGCGACTGCATGACATTAAGCTGCCCAATCTCCAGGTGCTTAAGATCAATCTGAGCAGTGTGGAGTGTATTGTATCCCAGGTGCTCCAGTTGCCCAAGTTGCGCAAATTGGCCGTCCGTTTCGATGATTCGCGACAGCTGCACGCGGATCAGGAGACCATCTTCCAGCAGATCATTGTGGCGAAGAGTGAGTGTATCACACGAATCGCCCTGAACAATGAGGTGGTGCAGTTGCCGCCCCGTTGGCAGCATAGTCTGCTGCTGGAGTTGCCCAAGCTGCGGGCTTTGGTCTGTGAGAATTGGTATCATGATGATTTCTTTTTGGATAACCGCCATATGCCCTGCGAACAGATGCAGGTGCTCAGCTTCAGTGGCTGGGAAGTGGTGCGAGAGTTTCAGTTACTCGAACTGGTCTCCGAGTGTCCTCAGCTCACCCAGTTGGCCCTAAATACGTATCACAGTACTGTGGATAAATTGGTAAAGTTACACAGCATTCGCAGCTTGGAGCGCAATGCGAAACCACTTCAGGTGTACAGTGACATCATGTGGACTCATTTGTCGCCCAACGAGTATCAGCATTGGAGGTCCAATAAGTATGTGCAAGTGACCTGCGATGGCAGCGACTATGATTACCAGGAGGATGGATTCGAGTTTGATTTTGTCTAAAATTCAGTTTATACTCTACAGATTGTAAATACTTCATAGCACTTAAGTTCTTGGAATATTGTACAAACAGTTGCTTGGAACATATAATAATATAATACAACCCGCACATGTTTTTTTTTTTAATTTTTGCAAATTGATCAGTAAATACTTAAACTTCTTAAACAACAAAATGCTGCTGTATGATATTCCAGAGTTATGTGGAAATGATATATTAAAAAAAATGTCAACATAAAAAAAATTAAATCCAAAAATATGTAAATTGTTATTCAAATAACCAAGAAAATAAATAAAATAAATAAACAAATAAATGATATGCAAACATGAATTGCCTTTTGGAAACGTAATTGCATTTGCTGCAACTATTTGCGAATAAAGACGCACGCATTATCTAAAATGAAAAATAACAATGTATTGGCTCACTTTCCCCCTCAAACACCCTACCTAGTAATTTTCCTCGTATGTGTCTCAGGCTCTCTTATTTATACTCATTGCAGCGCTTTAGGGCCCCTCGTCTGCGGCTTTAGCCAAATGGAAAAATCAACACATTTTATGGCCTGGCCAAGAGATTTAACTGTGCTTTGGGCCAGCTCTCTCACACAGACACATACACATAAAGACAGGCATTGGCAATGGCAACAGCATGACCTCCACTCCACTCACTTGGCCAGTTCATTTTTGCAAAGCATAAATTATTTGATTTGATTGAGTCGGAAAATGAGTTCGCAAAGTGCCCAAAGCGTTTGAGACTGCAGCTTGAGTGGCCACTTGGCCACATACTTACTCCAGGGTTGGGCAAGGCTAAGACTGACTCAATATCACACATGGAGAATGTGAAATTGACAATGCTCAACTGTTTCTACTGTCGTTGGCAAATTAGCAGTAAATATAAATCACAATAATCGACAAAAGTAATGACCTAGAATATACATACAATGGGTGTAAATATTTATTTACACAAGGAACAGATTTAATGGTTATGATTCTTTCTGGCGGAGTTTAAAATTTAGGAACATGAAGTTTACCATATGGTAATCTAATCGATTAACTATTTAACTATGCAAGTTTAAGAAATTCTAAATTCTAAAACATCGTTATAAATTAATTACAATTTTGAAATACATTTCTAGAATGCTCCTTCAAGAAACTTATCCCATATTGGGTTAGAAATCAATTAAATTGACCAAACTCACTTAGAATATATGTAGTTATATTAAAGAACACTACCAGTTGCTACATATAGTAAACTTATTATGTGCCTTAAGAAATCTTTAATAGATTTCATTTATAAAAACTATTTTTAAATATCACTCACTGTATGTTACGCATTAACCTGATCCTTTCAAATAATTCGCTTCGCCCATCCCTAGTGCATAATATGCGTAAATGTGGACTAGCTGCGTTCAATGAGCATATGAGGAAATTAAGCAATTTTGAATAATGTTCAATCTCAAAATGATTTACATAATTTTCCCAAAATGAGAAATAAACATCGAGCTAAGCTCCTGTTGCTTTCGTTTTCCATTACGTGACACCATTCAGCGGCACTGGCACTGGCTAAGTTATTGGCCGCACTGACAAGTCAACACAAAGTCAGCACTGGACTAATTTGTGGGCTCCAATGTGGCCGAGAGATTAAAATGCAAACGAAGCGGCCGAAACAGTCGACGGAATGCGCCACAGTCGGCGACTTGGCGACGACAGTTTGAAGTGGACAATATTTAGAAATAATGGACTATTAATTTATGGCTGCCAAAGACCGTTGCCAGTTGCCATTTCAGTGATTAAAAGGGGGCGGTAGGGGTGTGTAGAGACCTTTTGAGTGTTATCGATAAATGTTAGCCGTATATTTATGGCTTTTTCATTAATTGACTAATTGCAGGGGGCTTTGTACCTGCACCACTTAAGGCTGAAAACTAATGCGGCCAATTAAAGGCAGTCCACACTGGCCCCTCTCTGCCTAATTTCTCTATTAATTTTATTTAACATGCCCAGAAAAGGGTCGCTCGGGTCGCAATTCGTCATGGTCTCAAATACAAATTTTAAGGTGAAATTTTGAACGAGTTCCAAGCTCAATTCGTTCAGAGCCATAACTAGTGGATTTGCGGATGCTGTTAACGAAACCGAAATGAAATTAAATGATTTCATTTAAGCATAATTAAATTAAGCATAGTCTGTGTGTCGCTTTAAGTGGTGCACTATGTCCAATAAACTCAATCGCTCAGCCCCATAAATACTGCGATAAGACTAAGACTAAGGCTAATTTGCCGGCCCGTTTGATATTGCTTTTCAGTATGAATAGAAGCTGCCGTTTCCACTGTTCACAGGTCATATGAAATGTTGCATCCAGAACGCCATAAAACCTTGTATAATTAGTGAGCGACAATACAGTAGTTAAAACTATCCATTTTAAGAACTTCGCTTGCCAGATAGCGCTCCAATGATTGATATTGGGTATCAAGTGTTTCCGTTATTTTCGAAAGAGGTAACAACTCTGTAGTTGTTATTCATCAAATTTACATTTACTAATAGAAAATGAATTAGCTAAATTTAACAATGTGAAAGCAAAGGCGATTTAACAGGCCAATTAATTCCACATTTGTTGATTGTGTGAAATTATTCTTATTTCATTTTTTTGTTTTTAGTTTTCCGTTCCCATTTAAAAATGTTGTATTTTTTTTTTATCACATTAAACTATTACAAAGCTACTCCATATTTTGTGACATCCAGAGCTGTGTTAATTTTATCATTTTATTTTTCTATGTACGAATAATAATATTTAATTCCATGTAAAATTAAACTTTTTGGCCGAGGATAAATTATTTATTTAAATACAATTTTTTTTAAATAATTGTTAAATGCCTTACATTATCAGAAATGAAAATGACGTGACTTTTTGAACTAGATTTGATTCTAGAATGCAGCCATTGATCACAATAAATAGAGTATTCATTAAGATTTTTAAACTTCAGTGAGCTATAAGCATTTCTGTCAACTTGTCTTTTACAGCCCAAGTCTAGGTGATCTTTGCAGGTGGTCCGCGTCTGCTGATTTGCATGGCCAAAACAACAGCAAAAGAGAAAAAAAACATCAACACAAGTGTCAACAAATCTTTACGAGCTAACCAAATGCCTGATTTCCGAGCCCCGCTCGGGCAAACCCCTTTTGCCTCTTGCTGCATTGTTGCGACTGGGCTCTAAACGTTGACAAATCGTTTCGTAACTCAATACTTTTGTAATGCAAAAAGAAAAGCCCATTTTTGTCTACGCACAAGAAAACACAGCACAACACAACACAGCACAAGAGAAAAAGCAACAATACACAAAGGCATCGGCGGAATACAAACTCCAACAAAACTACATACAAGATAAATGCTTACAGTTTTATTGCCAAACAAGCTGACGTCTTGTCGACGCTTGTCGATTGTCGAGTGTGTTGCCTTTTTGACTGCTCGCATGTCTCTCATTCACAGCCGGTCATTTGTTTTTGTTCTTTGTGTTTTGCCTTTGGTCAAATCAAAACTGCATCCCTGTCGGCGATTGCATTGATTAATGTTAGCGGCTTTAAGCCGTTTTTTGGCATTTTCCTCTATTAATTTATCCGCAGGCAAAATCGCGCAAAAAACTTAATTACCACAAGTTTGTCACAGCTGGCGCTGCTGGAGGCCATTTGATTGGTCGTCTCGAACTCAAGTCTTTCGAAAATCGCGTGACGTTTCATAAACTGCAAATGATTTAATAATATGACCGCCTCGTCAGTCAAAATCGAGCAGCCGATTGGAGCTACAAACGATCGGTTGCTTTATGAAGTGCTATCAATTGGCCTATCAATGGCCGGTGATTTTGGTTCTAGCCGCTCATTTGTAGTGCCATCAAAATGCTAATTGAAATCGCTGCACAGCCTTTCATCTTGCACCGCCGCTGCACCAGAAAACCAAACAAGCTGCCGATAATTCCACAAGTTGAAGTAATTTAGTAGCCGTAACTGAAGCGGCTGCGGCGGCGGCAACTTTTCAAAGCTATCGCCAACTGTAAGCTGTCAAATCTAATAACTGCATTTAACAATGGAAAAGTGCTTAAATTGAATTTTCTTTTCGCCGCCAACTTAACGATGCAAAGCACTCCACATCAAATTTGCATTTAAATTGCTTGGCTACTGCGGCGGCAGCTGGTAGATCTTTAAATTTGACAATGGATCGATCCACTTTTACCCACTATTCCTAACAATTAATTAAAAAACCGTGGCCGGATTATTAAAAACCGATTTCCATCACACACAACGCTTATCGACAGCGACGTCGCTGCTAATGAAGATATCAGTGCAGCAGGTGCTGACAAACAAAAGACTCAGGTGACGAACTTGGTTTGCATTATAATGGAGAGCAAGTGGGCGCCTAGATTCCACGATAACAATAACGATAAAAGTAATGGTACTTTTCTCTAAGACTGAAAAGTAAAATCTCGTTAAAATTGTGACGAATCAAAAGAAACGAAACTACGCTTATACACCGTGATCACTATCAGATTATATATAACTAAAAATATATAAGCTCTGTCAAAATAATTAATTGATCGAGAAATAGGAACGCTCAAACTGTAACGAATCAAAAACAGATAGAGGTTTTGTGGCTATGTACTATGACCCTAATTAGATGTGAAACATAAATAATAAAAACTTAATTAATTAACAAACATAAAAACGCATTAAGAAATTTCTTCTGTATACTATATATTATAATAAATCAATCAATATATTAACAATATATATGAATGTATCTAAAATCCACTTATTTATTAGTCATTAAAAATGTTTTGCATTTTTTAATCATCGCCGTTCACCATTGACTAACTAAATTAGGTGACGAACTTGACTTGCATTTCAATTAAAACAAGTAGGCGTGTAAATAAAATACAATAACTTTTAATTTTTTAATTATCTCAAACAACACCTTTAAACTCAACACTCCTTTATACAACACACTTATACTTTGAGAACGACTTAGTCATCTCTTTAACTACATTTAAATTAAATACAGTTAAACGAAAGGAGCGGAGTTCATACAATAGTCTGTATATATGTGTATATTTATTAAATTTTTCCAACA